GTTGCTGACCACATTAGTTTTAATGGAGTCACCTAGCTGAAGGTGCTCGGTCATACATCTGCACCAGATCACGAGTGGAAACACCATCCTCAATATCTCTTGCAATCGCTAGCCAGATTAGACCAGACGATCCTCGATTTATTGATAGTCTATCAAAAACGTCTTCGAACCTCCTCGCTTCTGTCTTTTGATTTCACTTGGTGGGTACGACTCATAGTAGTGTAGCGTGGCGTCGAGTTGAGATTAACTATGAACACCGCTACCAAGATATACGTGCCAAATAGATCAGAAGGCGTAAGAAGCTCGTTCCAAATGACTCCATAAAATCCCCGAGAAGCCGAATACCAGAAGGCAATTAATGGACCAAGTCGATATTTATTTGCTGGCGATCTCGTGGCATCGAAAGGATACCGAGATCGTGCCAGGATACAAGCTTGGTTACAGAACGTAACCGAATTCGCGCGAAGTTACAATCAAAGTGTAAGTACAAGAATGGAAGCACAAAATAGCTGTCATTAGCACAGTCAAACAAAAGCACGTTAAAACAGTCACTGGTACACTTGGTTATAATAATAATTGTTTTTATTAAACCAGTCGTGTTCTCGTGATAAATGTGAGTCACTACAGTAGAAAGTGTTATTAATTTAAAGCACTGTCAAACTCCAAATAATGTGGCATCTTCAAGATGTTACATGGGAGTCACATAATTGCCTACACTAACTCATAGTATCATAACACTTACCAATATATGGCGGAGAAAACTTCAGGTTGGAGATAGAACAATATATTTAATACGAATAAATGAAGTTATGCAGAATTGCCACGCCTGCAAGGGTGAGCCATGCCATCCGACTGAATTGAGTTGAATTCAGTTTCGAATGAACTATTGACCTTCTCTTAGTGTTACATGTTGATAGTCTATTTTCCCAGTTATCTCACGATCAGCTTTGAGGACTATGTTTAGGACTCAGTCCCACTACAACCTCACTTTATCATAAGGAGCCACAATTTACCAACATATTCTGCCCTACATAAATGAGTGAATTAAAGTTATCTTCCCACTATCATGTTTACTGGTCAGTAACGCCACCCTCTCTCCTTGGTGATGTTGGCTCTCTTACGTTTGTGGTGTATATGAATATTGCTTTAATCTAAGCCCCTCGTTGGAACACACTGTTTCGTTATTACAAGCAAGTCACCTATTTATACGTTAGGTTAATGCCAGACAGCCGAACAGTAAAGCAATCGAACTTAAAGGTTTTAAAATAATTAACACGGAGTCCCGCAGTTTATTTAGTTCGGGCATATCACATAATAGTGAATTTTAGGCCAGGGTGAGGATAAATAAGGCATCCCCTGCCTCGTCTTTTTGGTCTTCCACCTCGACATAGGAAATAGTTGTCAAGAGATATACTTAGGTCGGAAATAACACTGTTAGTCCATGATTCAGATATCATTAAAAGTGATCGCTGACAAATTGATACAAACTATGCTAACCCCATGTTTTTTATTACAGACCGACCTGGCGTTGATAAGACACATTCGACGGATGGCCCACTAAATTAAAATGGGTGAGAGTATCTCGATTAAAGTTTTCATAGCCTTTAAGGTTGTGATATGTGTTCGAAGTATGAGATCGGTTGTTCTCCAATAGCTCGTTACTTTGATAGCTAGAGTTAGAGGAGGATATATCAAGTGAGCCAGCGAAGTTACTTGGAGTGTTTACCTAGGAGGAAAAGGTGAGACTACTCCCTGATCGAAACCGTACGGGGGAAGCAAATTTATGTTCGGCTTGTGGTTCGAAATGACTTTAGCTATATACTTCAACAGAGACATCAGTAGGAGCCGTATTCTAAAAACTCTGGTTCAGGCCGACTGTGAAGTGCACTGTTATTTGAAAACAGTCTTGTTGCTTAAGCTCTTAGCCTCTGTCATAGCTATTTACGTTAGTTTGAACATAAGAAGGAGCTGCTGCACGTAACTGGAGGCAGTTACGACTGTTATTATACATGGGAGCCGTTTTTTGTGATGGGTTGGTACTGATGGGTGTGAGAAGTTCTCTATCTGAGAGTAATTACAATCGTGACCCTGAGGTATGCATATAAGGTATGGGGTGAGAAACCTATTATTACCATGCCTAATAATGGTTTTAGGCCTTCCGGAATGAGTGGAGTGATCGGTACTCTGATAGCTCTTATCAGTCTACGTGTAAATAGAGTTGTTACGCTCAGGCTTACCACCAGTGTTGCAGCTTAGAGGTGTTAATGGCAGGTTATACGACGGCAGCGGGAGAACCTGCTCACTGTTGTTGGGATACATATAGAACAGTTGGGTTCAATCTTACGTGTTTCCCTATTTGGCATTATGGATTCTGTCTCCCCAAACTTTTTTGTCAGAGGTGGAGAGTCTCTTTGTTTTTCTGAAATGAATTCAAGTTCATTTGAGTCATCTTGTAAAGTACTCTTAGCAGGATTAGTTTTCAAGTGAATAGGTTAAGTTAGCTTTGTGTCGTCACATGGCTCATTTTGAAGTGCTTTACTGCGCGAATAGCCGGCATTAGGAATGTCGCTATAATTTTTGGTGACAGTTGGAATCCGTATTATATCCAAAGGTTTCTGATCTGCTGACTCATCTAGATCTAAAGAGTGACCTTCCGGTTGTGAAGTGACATCATCCTTATTGTTCATGCAATTCAAACTATTTGCCGTGTTACAAGCTGTCTCTAGCTGGTTATTTGTGACACTATCATGTAATCCTTTCGCTTCACGTCTTCCTACACGACATTGTCAGGGCTTTAGGTCTGGAGTGACTTTTTACGCTCTTGTATGGAATTATTGAGCTGATACTTTTGCTTGCATCAATAAACTGTTTAGCATAGTTACATCGCCTGACTTTTCTCTAAGGTCAATTACTTGGTAGTTGACGTCCACCATGCCTCATGCTCTAAGACAAATATCCACTAACTTATTTGGGAGATTGTATATAACTACAATGTAGAACTACATCACTCTTTTCGTCACTACTTCAGCCACAAACTCTAAAATACACTCAGCTTAGTGAGTTGTTCAAGATTTTTATCAGTACTAAGGGCCCATATGTGTGTGAGGAGTGCTAATCGGTTAAGCATACCGTTAGTTTCGGCTAGAGAGTTTTGTCACTGACGGATATCAGTATTTTCGTATGTGTGAAATAAACTATTAGACTCCTTGGTCTTTGAAAATTTGGATTTAGGCCTTGGTACGGTATACTGTCTGGTAGACTGTATTAACTTTTCGATGCACTTGGGTATTGTACCTTTTGTGTCAACCTGTCTTACACTTGGCACACTGCACGAAGAGACAGAGGGGTTGTTACATGGGGAATCAGGTAGTGATTGTGATATTTGTGGATAAGACGCATAGGGTCTAAATGACAAATGTTTAACAATGGGAGGCACTGAAGCGTCATACATATGGGTTACAGATTTTTACCTTTTTGTTGGCTCAGAAGTTGGTGACGTTTCTCTTTTACTGGTATTACTTGAATCTAGGTGAGTAGAGAGCTCGTTAAACTAGATGTACTGTCTGAGTATACAGTTATTGTTAAGTAGTAACCGGGCGAATCCTAGAATCAAAAACTATGAGTATGTAATGTATTTCAGATATAAGGTGTTTTGTTGCAACGTAAGGGAGTAACGATCAATGGAATGTCAATATTTCAAATAGTATAATCCAAGGATGAAGACGCGTCAATGTCAATTGCTTGAGGCTTATATAAGATAGGTGAGAAGCGAAGCACGCGATATGTATACATTAACGGGTAAATGTTCTTCGAAATTATTTTCTGGGATGAAATGTGCCCTATATACAATATAGGATGATAATCTCAGCATAATACAGCTTAGTTTTCCCAATAAGAGGAATCACAATGATCAGGTCATATTGGCTCCTTAACGTCACAAAAGATGCCGCATTGTCTGGGACCGAGGTGGGCTAGCTGTTCATAGTATTTTATGATACCAATAGTTAACAGAACCAGTCTGTACTAGCCCTGTGAATGATGTTAGTTGAGCTTGGTCGCGATTGATCAACTACTGCCGACGTTCTGACGACAACAAATGTGTTGGTCCTAATATTTGATATGATGACAAAATGTTCCATCAGTTTACAATATAATCACGGAGCGGCATGGTGTCATAAATGCTTAGTGATACAGGGAAAGTCTTCACTACTTATCCAACGTATATCTTTGAGCTCTGCAAGTAGGTGATCGTGATCAATCACGATGGAAAAATGGCTCTCATACAAACGTAATTGATCACATTCAAACTTCACATGCTAAGAAGGGAACTATCATATCCTTTGTTGACGTTAAAGATACTACAGATATTCAGGGTTTGCCAAAGCTTTAGTCTGTAATACCTTTGTAATCGAAGGATAGCTGTCTGGTCAAGTCAGAAGTCAGTGATTAGTGAGTCCGAAGTCATATTCAAAAAACTTGTTGATATGATGAGAAGCGTTTGATCTTAGCTGTGAATTTGTTGCAAGGGATGAGTAGCACGGAGTACCTAATCGTTATCCAGTCCGGACGCGTGACAGAGCGCTTTCACCTAGGGTTCGTCCAGGAGAAATAATGGGGTTAGCATCAGTGTCGAGGACTAATTATTTCGGGAACTTGTTTACCGCTACTGGACGTAGCTAGACGTAAAATGATTGATGGAACAAACTCTATCACCTCCACTTTACATTCTTTCACGTGTATATAATGTTAACCGAAGTACTTGTGTCTTCAGCATGTAAAATCTAGCCCTGAAATCCCTTTTGTGTAACTTTAGTTCAGGATATTAGCAGATAATATTTAGAGTCATCTATGACTGAAACATACTCTTATAACAAGATTTAAGGTTTGGATACTAAGTTACATTTATTAAGATCTATATTTCGAGAAATGCTAATAGCAATGTTTGTTTATGTATATTGATTTCATAGTGGTGAACATCGACCTTTGTCATATACTTGTCCATGTTCGCTGTTTCCGCGTCTGCTCTTCTGTTTTCTGTCGTTGTGCATGCTTTAGTGGATAAAATCGCGAAATGTTTAAACCCGTTTCGTCATGAACTATCTGAAAATCAAGAATCAAAGCCAAAATATGTTCAGAGGCAGCATTTTATTTGGCAAAACACGTGTGTATCTTTTGTGCACGCCTTTGTATCAGGGATTTGGTCTTTATCAACGTAGGTATCTTGACAGGTAATTGAGTTTTTCAAGGTTTTACCTCGAACCCGACTTCCTAACCGATTTGATAAACCTGTCTACATGGCGATCTATTTCTCTGGTATCCTACTCTCTTGGTAGCTTAGCTTGTTGCTTCATATGCTTCAGGTTACTTCATTTTTGACTCTTTACATATGGCTATCCTGCATCCTTATCGGTCTACGGCTGAGTTGTTGGTGCATCACTTTGTCGTAAGCATGTATATTCGTAGTTACTTGTAGATATTTTTGTGCTTCTCATCTGCATTATTATCTGGCAACTATATTGGGTATGCGGTTGTTTCGCTTCTTCCTGAAGTTAACTCGATCTTCTTGCACTTGCGAAGGGCGATGAACTACCTACATGTGCCCAAAAGAAATCCCATCTTTCGTGCCATTTGTTTGTTAAACATTAGTGAGTTTACGCTTTGTAGTCGATCGTGATTTCTCTAAACCTTGGTTTTTATGCGTTATTGTAAGCAGTGACTTACTATTGGTTTTACAGAACATCTTGCACAATATGTATTAGAAAATGGGAAATAATAAGTTTCATGCAAGAACATTCTAGTGAAATTTCATTTGAAATTTGAAGAATACTTATGAAATGCAAGCAACACGTAGATCACCTGCCATTAAAATTTAACTTTTTGCATCCCATTATAAATCACCACAGTCGCCCCATCAGCTAATTTGTCGTCAGGTAGCTGATGGAGCAATACTCTTGAGGATAATTCTCATTGTACTCAATGGCATGCCGGAAAAAATTTCAGGCCAGAGCTTCTAGGTCTTAGTGTTTAGAATGTTCTATCAGATAATCAATTCTAGGAAGACCTTGCCCTCAAATTCGGCAGTTTGGGTTTTAGTAAATTCTGATACGCGCTCTACAAGGTCTGACTTAATGTTTGGTACTCAATAGTAGAACCACAAACCTTAAGTTTCATTCATCTTAATACTTTCTTAATTCATATCTTAGTGTATCAAACCTTTAGGTCGAAGGCTCCGGGTGTGGCCCCTGAGAAAACCACCTGCTTCTGTTCGGGCACCCGGGCAGTATCCAGCCCTCACACAAGTCGGATGATTTATGTGGCGCTTATCTATTTGGTGCCTCCTTGTACCAATGTTTATATGTTTAAATAAATTCTCTGGGACGAAATTCGTCGAACATGTCCAAGTCACCGAAGTCAGTGTTTCAAGGTATTGACATCAATTGAATTGTCGTCCCTGTACTTAAACATACGATGCGGAACTTCAGTATTACTAACATAATGCCACTTGATGTCCGCAATCCTTCGAAGACAACGATGATCAAACACAAAGTCGTCTGACATCCTGAACTCGGAGAGGCCAGGTCCCACAAACATAAAGCAGAACTTGATTTTGATTATTACCCTGAAGAAGTCCAGACAAGTTAGCTGGACGAAACGTTGGAATTAGTTAAATTTCAATCGCTGAGAATATTTCAAATATAATTTTCACATATAATGAATAAAGCAGAACTGCTCTCACCGAGGCTTTGTAGATCCTACCTTTTACAGCCAAAGATGGCCCAGATTGACATAAGCTGCTCTGGCTTTCACTATACTTGAATTGATCTCATCACTCACGCCACCACCTGCACTTACGCAGCTACTCAGATACACGAACTTCTCGACTACTTTTATCTGTTTACTACCCAAGGTGAGTGCAGGATCAGAGTCACGCCAGTCTTTTAAAAGTATTTTGCACTTCGGATGTGCAAGGCACATATCAAAACTATGGACTCTAAGTGCCAACTGATTGCGTGCGGTTTGGCTTGGGTATTATCGCACAGTAAGACAATATCATCCGCATACTCAACGTCGACAAGTCATTCTCTAAGCAACAGATCCACACAGCCATTACTTACATCCATTAGAGCTGTTTCCAGAACGTCATCGATAGCAAAGTTGTAGAGGAATGGTGAGATTGGGCAACCCTGTCTAACCCCACTGCTCGAATAGAACTATGGGAAAAGCGGTTGTATGCCCTCACTCTACCTGGTGTTTGTAAATAGGGCTTTTAAGATGTTAATAAACTTCTCAGGCACACCTTTCTTCAATAAACAATCCCAGAGCACAGTCGTGTCCGGCGAGTCGAAGTCGGCCCTGATGGTCTGTGATAAGAATGACGGTGTTCTAACATTTGGCGGAGGGTGAAGATATGATCAGTACATCCTTGACCAGGACGAAAGCCAGCCTGCTCCTTGCTGGTCAATCTTTCTCGAGTTTTGAACAACCTACGAAGTAGGACGGAAGCCAATAGTTTGGACGCAATCGTAAGTAGACTTATCCTCCGTTAGTTGTTACAGAAACGACGTGAACCCCTTTCAAAGATAGGGACAACTATCTACTCATTCCATGATGCTGGATACTCTCTAACTGCCAAACCTTTGTAAACAAAACTGTCAGCCCCTTAACCAGAACGTCACCACCATCTTTAAAAAGAGCCGGAGATAATTCATCTGGGCCTGGTGTTTATAGCGCTTCAAGAGTTGGAATTCCTTGTAGACATCTGCCTGGTTTGTTGGATCAGTCGTCACTGGTCATAGAGAGCAGGACAGTCTGATCGATGTTGTTGGGGCAGCGGACCAGTTGAACTGTTCCTCGAAAAACTGCCCATCGTCCAAGACGGTAGATGTTAGTGATTGGCATCCCGTCATCTTCACAGGTTATTTCGTTCACACCAGACTTCTTGCTGCCAGTGGCTCGGATAGGTACTCCAAAAGGAGCGGCGGTTGATCGTGATGTGATCAATCTGAATCCAGGCTTAAGATACAGAGGTAGGACGCCAGGTTGTACATCGGCGATGACTGTGACAATAGTTAATGCTAGCTAGAAACAGGTTGTTGTCTGTGCACAGTTGCAGTAGACAGTCACCGTTATATGACGTGCGATCAACAAGTCCCGATCAGCCACCTAAACGACTTTCTTCTGTGCCTAGACGCCCGACCTGAGCATTCAAGTCTCCGACTAGTACTACAATATCTGTCGAACGCACTTTCTGTAGAAGAGCAGTTAATTGGTAGTAAAACTCTTCCTTGATCACATTCGTGTTGCAATCTGTCGGAGCATAGGCGGAGATATCGAAAATACATCGTTTCTCACACCGATTTCTTACTTTGATGGAACTTTCTAATCTAACAGCACATAACCGACTGTTAGTGGGTATCTAGTCTGTCTGTGCTACCTCAGCTCTGGCACTTAGTTCGACATCAAAACCAGACGAAGATGCCTCAGGGTCCCCGGATAAACGCACGTAAAACAGGCTTTTCGAAGCGGCAGATGGAGGGCGAATTTGTAGTGCTTCACTAGAGTCGTGGATTCGAGTCTCGGATAGCCAACAGACGCCGATATTAAAACCTTCTAAAGACTCAGCCAACCCTACCTGTTTTCCGATCTGCATCCATGTATGAACGTTTGTGAAGGCCTGTTTGAATAGTGCACGTGGTCTCAGAAAGACTGTTTCAGTATTTGTAGTTGGCGGTAGCATGTGAGAGCATTTCGAGGAGAGCCCACTCTCCCCACCCTCGGCGGTACCAGGGCATTTGGGGGCTCTTCGCTGATTATAGTTGACTGACTGACTGTGGGTTGGTGGAAGCTTCTAAATAAGTAAAGCTGTTTATACGATCATTCACTTTATTATCTAAAGTCAGACTGAAAGTGCTTGGAAACCCATTCTGCTCCATGTGTTTCCAGGCTTAGTAATTATACGTTTCAGCTCGAAACAGACACTAACTTTATATTGCAGTGTTGTGGTTTAACAGAAGTACTCCTTATGCGTACTTTAAATCGGCTGAATAATCTTTCGGTACCAGAACCATCTTACGTAAGTTTACAAAAGGTTGAATTGGAACGATCAACATAATATTTCGAGTAGTCTAAGCAAACTATGAAGGATAAATGAGGGGAAAGCCGTGTAAATTAAGATAATATCAAAGACAAGTGCAATAAGTAAATACAGTTAATAAACAGTATAACGTGTCACGTTATGTTACAACTGAAGAAAAGCCGAAAAGTGGATGCATGTGTCATATCTATTGATTTCAAATTATATCCAAGTTTTTCTGTTTTGATGTCCTGAGTCAGCTTGCTTCTTACCAGTTTCTAATCAATGTAGCGTCGTTATGTAGTAGTAAACAGATTTCTTTCACATCTCAAATTTAATTGTCTCTAAATTCGTATATGTTAAAAACCTGAATACGTCACGAGTCAAAACAGCACCATCTAAGTGCAAAATATTTCTTAACTTTCCTACTGTTCATAAATTGTTTCAATAAAATTTCATTTACAGGTTCATTTATTGTGTTCCGTTTCATGGTATTATCTTGGATGACTCGTTGGATTGTCATTAATCGAGATCGAGTTCCATTCGGATACTACTGCCTTGGCTCAGTTGGCCTTGCTGTGTTAATGGTTATGAATATTGTTCTGTTTATCCGGGTTGTTTACGCTGATTTTCTAACAAACAATACAGTTTCCAGTGCAGCGTTGTTAGTTTCTGCAGCTGGCTCTGGTACAGGTGCACCTGGGAAACCTCATCTGTCAGTGCATTCATCTTATGTTTCTGCACATTAAGATGATTCTATCTTTTTATTTTGTATACCGTATATATTTTTTAATTCGACTTTTGAAGAATCCTTTTTTGTGAAACATTATGTAAAACAATATTTCATCTTTTCGTCTGTGTAAATAAGCATTACAGTGTCTGTCAATTAAATTTGCGAATTTAACCTGTACTTTTATAATTCTGTTTCAGTGTAATATTAATCCTCAATATGACTCACTGTCTTATCTGTGATATTACTTCAATACTTCCCTATCCTATTTACTTTTTGATTATTCACCTATGTGTCTACAAGTTTTATGTAGTGCGTTTATTCACTAACTTTGGTCAGTAGTTGCAGAGTTAGGAATAAGAGTCCATACTATTTCAGGAGGATTTAATGTTAATGTACTTTTTATTTGTTTTGATATTTTCTATATTACATAATTTTATGCTAGAAATAATTAATAAACTTCTAAACCCATTATTCAGATGAATAAATTTATACATAACCAACGTTCATTTTGATTTTTAATTAAATTAGTTATAATTCCCGATGGTGTTGGTTAGATTTGTCCGTTGTTCTATCTAAACTTGCTAGGATGTTATATCCTTGTGGTCTAATTACCTTGTGATGATCGAATAATCAGTAGTAGGATTCGAATTATGTAATTAGTACACGTTTAAGACTATGTTAACGGATGGTTGTTACCATCTTCCTACCAAAACCTGGCACCCGACATCAGTCTAAGTTCCGATACGTTAACAGAGGAGAGGAATGAAATTAAATTCCAGTGGGAATGTAAACACGAGAAGCCTAATCAAAACGAAGCAAAACTGAATAATGGAAACGTAGAAGTGATTTAACAGCGACCGGCTTTTAACCATAATCCCATACATCTGCAACCATTGATTAAATTCATTGTAGATGTTCCAGCTAGCAAGTTTGCATGTAGAGTGTTACTACAGTGAACTCCTTTCATAAACGTATGCTACGAATGCCTAACTCGCACGAGGGAAGCATATGGACACAGATGTATCATTTATTTTTCATAAGCTTAAATAAATATTCCGAGAGTCGACATATTAGTTCTTTATGGGATTCCACCGAAATACATTAGAACAAAAATATAAATACATCATGTAATTCTTCAATATCCTATTTCTGAGGATCGCTTCAAGAAAGTAGATATGATGAAATATGTAGTTGATGTCCTAACTTGTACAAGTATGTCTTAAGACTATTCAGTTAGAATTTTATATCTATGATTACAGCTTAGAGGCCAATAAGATATACTGATACTATATTCTTACACATTTCGTAGTGAATAATGCCTATTCTGAGGTTTACTGTAGAGTGTACAGCGTAAGAAATCATCAATGGCAAAAAATAAGTTGAGGCTGATAAATGAAAATATTCAAAAGTGTAATCAAAAATGACTTAGAATCTAACTTTCGGTAGTTTGTGCATATTTTTGCTTCTAGTGGAGTTATAACCCTTTCTCTGTACAAGTTGATAACATTTCGTTGGATTTAATCATATGTAAACTTGGAAATGAGCTCGATTCGTCGCATATTATTCTTAAGTTCTCATGGAGTTTTTTGGTACCATTTATAGTTTTGACCATTCACAATCACACGTGTAAGCGATTTACTTGTACAATTCTTAATTTATATTTTATCACATGTAATATTCATCTAGTTTGTAAACACATATTTATTGATCAAGTATAAAGAATTTATTTTGTAATAATATTTTTGCTAAAATAGTGCTTCTTAAATAAATGAGATAGATTATTTGATAAAATGAATCCTGATCAACTGAGATTGTTGGGATTTATTTACTGAACCTCCGCCTATCCTAATTTGGTTCACTAACCAATATGAAAATACTTGGTTGAAAAGCATGAATAATCAAATCAAGAAATTAGGACCAATTCATCAATTCTTTCACTGCTGATCTGAATCGTGTATAAAGAATTGGGTTTCGTATTTAGAATTCCCTAACAACTTGACTCCCCTACCACTTAAGTTTCGATAATATGTTGCAATATCGGTTACATACTTTCTTCATCCTATGTTTAATCTCAGATAATAATGTTTGTACTTTTGAAGTTGTTATATTTCAATTCTAAGTAATTGGAAAACATCATTTGAGCAAATAACGATTATTATTGATTTGTCACAAGGTTTTGTATTGTAGTTAGAGAAATTCCATTTGGTCTTTATGAATTGTTTAATGGGTATATATTCATTATTCTCTTTGAAGTTGACTGAGAAACTACTGAAAATATATATTCGTATCCTCCAGTTGTACATTCACTGGATTGCTTTACTTGTCTTTCTTTCCTTACCGCTCCGATCATCATTATTTTCCATCTAGGCCTTGTTATTGTTTTTATCCGCTTGTTGTACTGATAATAATCCTGAGGCTCGAATTAATATACAGTTTTGCCTGGTCTTACTTTGTATTGGTGCCTGTATTAGTTTATTCTAGCTTTTGGATAGACGAGTCATTTTAATCTTATTGGTTGTTTTGTACACGAAGCTAAATAAGATCCATGCTTCACTAAGGTCATTGTCATTATATTGGAGTTGATTTGCGGTTATAGCTTTATTTCCTCACTTTACTCAATCATATATTAATCTTCGGGAGAATCTTACACCGTGAACTAACCGAAATTCCTATACTGTTCAGTGTTGTAAACTGTCCTGATCGATTGTTAAAGCTTGATTTAGTTACTGTTTCGTTTGTAATCAAGTCACTAGTGTGAGTGACATTTTAGACATGAGAATAAGTTATTCTCATAGCAACCACTTGTTCTTCGTTTGTTTATTCACGTGTTATTCATTTTACTGAAGAAATGGGTGCGCGATCGATCGACCTAATTGATAAATCGGTAATTGTTAGCTGTCCAATAACCTTAACTTTCAAGCCCATATACTAGGAAGTATAAGAAATAGCCTCTAACTAAATATTTCTCTAAGAACGAGACACTTCTTTCTATAGTAACATCTATTATACTTAACTGAGGTAAATATTTATTGGCTGCTTTTAATAACTCAGTCTTTCACTGTGAATATGATCAACTAATAAATTATTATATTCTTTATTCTAAACAGAGTTCTCCTATTTCTATTTTGTACATTTGTTAATAACGTGTGACTTTTCAACAACAATAATAATCATTAGTATGCAAACTGTCAATTTTTCCGCCATCAAAACTTTGGTCATTATTCATTTTAATTCATCATTATAGCTACTCTAATATTTCCATAAATAAACTTACATTTAATAAATCATGTTAAATCATTTATCATCAACATTCTTGATTGATAACTTGATATTAATTGTAAAACTTGTACAAAGAATTAATTTGTTGCTCTGTTCATTTGATTTTGATGTGTAAAAATTTAATATAAGATAAACAAGATTATAAGATGTTTTGCATATAACCATTATGATCAGAAGTTTGAAGGTCACTGATTGATGGATTATTTGAAATTTTACAAAATAAACTTACTTTCTAAACAGCTTACAGTTCTGTTTTACATATGTAGTTATGATCAGTTCACTAGTATGTCAGTGTATTTTGCTAATTCAATTATTTAATTTAGATTTTATAAACATGCTATCCATTTTATGAATACGGCGTCGGTTTTGAAGTCGATGTGATTAATAGTGTTACCACTATCATTAAGTAATATGTGCCATGAAGTTAGGTACATAATTTCTCATTTTATTACTGAATTAAATTGAAAGTGATGTGCAAAAAACATATACAGATCTAATTTTAGATGTGAGGGTAAATCGAATTAAAAATGCAACTAACGTGTACTAATCTACACCTTTCTTAAGTCAGTCATGAATCAATAACTTTCCACAGTATCTGGCAGTTGTACCTTTGTCAAATATAATTACTATGATTTCCCATACACATAGTTCCTTTTATTATCTTAAAGAGGGAGAAAACAAAAATTGATGCAGAATAATATGAATTAGTTATATTTTGTTATGTTCTCATCGGCTGCTTACAACCTATAATATTTAAAATCAACCTTATTACAGATATTGACATACAAATACGAAGGTGATTAGAGACGAATATGTGTATCATGATGTAGCGAAGATTCCAATGGAGGTAATAGGGTCGTAAAAAGTTTTGTTTCGGATAGATAAATAAGTAGTTTGGGAGGGAAAGTTTCAGAACATTGAAATCAGTTAGTCACATTTTTCTTTATTACCATTAATCCGTTTTCAGTCGCTTCATTCCACAATTATCTAATGTTTGTTAACTCCATAAGTTCTAATCACTATTTCAATGTTCTGGGACTTTCCCTCCCAAACTATTTATTTATCTATCCGAAACAAAACTTTTTACGACCCTATTAAAATCTTCGCTACATCATGATGCATGTATTCATCTCTAATCACTTTCGTATTTGTAAGTATGTCAGTATCTGTAATAACATTGATTTTAAAATACTATAGGTTGTAAGCAGCCGATGAGAACCTAACAAAATATAATTAATTCATATTGTCCTTCACGAATCTTCGTTCTTGCTCTCTTTACCATGATTTTGTTTACATAGACCCATTGATTTCAATGTGATTTATTTTTCAATGTTACTCAATGTTTTTTAAAAAAACAATTTTGTTTTCATTTCTAAGAAGTTGGTTTTTTTCACTATACAACAAATAGTCATGACTTACAAACTAAATGATACCTATGATAGAACAATTACATACAATACATACTTTATAAAGTTTTCATTTCTTAATGTGTATGTGTGTCAGTACTTGTTTTTTGTTTGTCTTCGTGAAAAATCCTGATTGAAAAGAAAGTCCGACTAATTTCTAAACTATTGTTTTTCTTGATTTGTTACTTTAATACAAATATCATTCACTCTAAGGGAATATCCTTCATTTCAAGTGTTTCTTACTGTAAAAGTAACAAACACATGAAGTCACTAGTGATTCATATTGTTTTTGTAGACAGCTGACTATTGATCATCAATGGCGAAAGATTAG